TTAGGTAGAGACCTGCGGTTTTCTCCAAAATCCATCATTTTCCATGGTTTGTCAGATGAGGTAGGAGAGAATGCTCGCATCAACACTTCTGTATATCGCAGTAGGCTTGGATTGGTACATGGATACATCCCTACTAAGTAGGGCCTACTTAGTTTTTTTGAAAGTTGTGTTTAATAGCCGTTAAGAGTTGTTGACCAGTTGTGATGAATACATGTTGTGGTATATTCATCTTCATTTGACAAGTTGACATTCTGCTGATGAATAGTAAAAGATACATCATACATGACAGCATCTAGGAAATAATACTCTCTAAGGATAATAAATATGCAAAAATATAGAAATCAGTATCATATTGCAATCTGGTGGGGAAAATTAACTACTGGAATCAGTTTTTATGAATTTGCGTTGTATAATTAGAAATATCTGAGACACTAAGAGATCTTTCAAAACCCTTTTCTTGAGATCCGCCCAACTACCACACTTTCTTCAACTATAGACCTGCGATTTTCATTGTATGCAATAATTCTTAGCGCTCAAACATGTGATTATAGCTTCAGTGCTGGTACCGTCAGCATTGTAGTAAGTTTTCCATGAATTTAAATATGATTAAAATGAGTTTATGAATAACACTTTTGGTATGATTATTTTATATGATTTATTGTCGTCATTTAAGCGATAGAATAGCTCATTTTTAGAAATGTACTCATTTAACTGATGATCCATATCTCAACAATAGTTGATTGTATAACTCAACGCTTGACTCAATCAACACTCAACACTTAATCAAAACAATATTAATTTTATTTACGTTTTTGAGATGATTCACAAGTGATGCACATTATACTCGGCTAGAAGTTTGATTATAATTACAATTTTTATTATTCTTGATTATATTTTCATCCTGGATGTATTTGTCAAAGTATTAGGAAAAGATCAGCTACTAGACGGTGTGATGGTAGAATAGTTTACTACTACAAAAATTTATTAGAAATAATGATATTTCAACAACTATTTTAAGAAAGAAAGATATCTAATCTTTTTTTCAGAAATTTCTCCTGCTTAATAACCTATTTTTTTTTCACACGTACATATCGCCATAAGATGTTTTTTACACTCATAAAGCTGTAAAATACTAATTGAGGTCGCATTTGATGACATTTGTTAAACTGACTTCTTACCATTCGATCATAGACTCAACATGCATGATTATGATTGTTGTTGTTATATATTTTTTCTACTTTCTGTTGAGAAAGCATGTTTTCTTAAGCAATAGGTTTTTGTCAATGATTTTATGGCATACAAAAAACGGGAAACAGTGTTTAAGTAATTATCATCAAATTGTGTCCTTGTATAAAAATATGTGTTATGTCTATTTCTAACAACTACATGAACGATGAACGATTATCAATAGCTATACTAAAACTTTTTAACTGTTTTCACCGAAAAATGTTTTAGGATAGCTCAGAAAAAAATAACATTTTTTATTGTGATAACGAAAAAATGCTTTGATTTTCTTGAAAAATAGCTAAGACATTTTTTTTTCAGAACGTTTTTCGAATGAGACAAAGTCAATAATCAACATAGCTATGGATAGAGTAGCATAGGATTCTATTTTAAACAATAGAATAACACTCAATGATGTACATTCTTATTTATTAGAGAATTTATAACATTTGGAATATGTCTATTCCATGGCATATTATTCTGTTTTGTTAATTTACCATATGTGCAAAAAGAAAAAAAAATTGTTGAAGGATATATGTATATAACGCAGCTTGATATTTCACGGCATGTTTGTTTTTGGTAGAAAAAGAAAAGAAATTATCCCAGAGGATACGCCAGAAACGAAGTTCAAACACATATACAATAAAATAGTTCGTGGTTTTCATAGAGAAAGAGATTTTTGTTTAGTTGTAACAAAAGGAAAAAACTACATATATACATGTAGCAGACAAAAAACAGAAAAATAGATGTATAGATATTAGCATAAAATCATTTGTTTGTGTATAGAACCATCTAACGTCTCTTTTCATCGGCGTCATCTTCAATGTATGAAAATATAAACAAATAATAATGGCACAGACAACAACAATGAAAGTAGTTCTCCAAAGAGATAGTTTACAGACGCCTTGGGGCTTTAGGCTACAGGTAAATAATAACTAATTTCAAAAACCTTTTACAAAAACTCGTATTATCTATCCTTTAAATGGACGAATTGTTTTCGGATACATCACCTATAACTTATTATGCATTTTCTGCTCATATCGTGTTTTTTCTTCTAGGGTGGTGCTGATTTTCGAATACCATTCACCGTTAATAAGGCACGAAGGAGTTGTTATGCACTATAATTTTTTCTTCTAATAATTGAATTTAAAACTTTTAGATTATCGCCGGATCACCTGCTGAAGGTTTTCTACATCGTGGAGATGTTATACTGGAAATTGATGGTCAAAGCACACAAAATATGCAGCACACAGAAGCACTTGAACTCGTTAAAAGAGCTGGTGCTACTACGACGTTTCTTGTTCAAAGGTAAAGAGTACAGTATCATCATCATTATGCTAAACTGACTCCTATATTTAGAGGACCTACTCCAAGTCCTCTTTATCAGCAACGGAATCGACCGATGTCTGCATTACCATTTCTATCTCAAATGAATTCAAATTGGGGAGATATGCCAAGTATCCTTTCACCACTGCATCAGGAATCTAGTCCATTGAGTCCAATGGTAGGTGAATGGAGAGCACAACAAAAATATAATCAATGATGATCTTTTTATTCTGTCTTTCAGGGATTTTTTCGTAACAGATTCTTTGAAAGGGTACCTAATCCAAAACCATTATTAAGTCAGACTGGTAGTCCATTGATGCCAGGTCCCGTACCGTCTGTTTCAACAAAAACACGCGGTAGTGTACCACCACCATCATTTCATACTGAAAGACAGAATATATTCAATACAAGCCAAGTGTTACCATATGAAAGTTCCTATTCACCCTCTTTACCTTATACGCTGACACAAAACTCTAATGCGAATACACGTCAACAGTATCAAAATAATTATAGTCGTCAATCAACGAGCACAATAACAAACCGATCATCATATCAACAACGTCAACAACAAAACAATGATACTGTATATCAACCGCCGTGGCGAGACTCACTCAATGAGTCTGATGTTTACGTACCATCCTATCAGAAACAAGTGCCCACAACTCCAAATATACGACGACAGTATACCACTGTATCGTCATCAAGGCCTCATAGTCATAGTGTGTTGGAAAACAGTCATGTGGTTCATAGACAATTTAATTCACCACTTTCACTTTATTCTCAAAATAATGTACAAGATGTTATTAATCGTGTCAGTAAAATTAGGTAAAATCCTAATCATTTTTGCATGATTTTTTATATCAAGTGGTTTCTTTTCTAGTCCTCCCGATCGTTACGCAACTGATCTTTAAAAAGAAAATAGTTTTCTATGTTGAGTATGATATCTATAAACACATTTGATGTGAATGTATGAGAGTAGTAGTATAGATGAGTTCGCTTGTTTAGTTTATTTTACAGCTATCCATCCAAAACGACAGAAAAATTTCTATAACTTCATACTGTTCTATCTTCTAACTATGCAGACCAGTCTTCTTAAATCAGTTTTGTTTTTCTATCAAAACTGCTTCACTCTATTTTGAGATTTGTCTAATTTGAGTCTTTATTCTGTGGTTTGTTTTCTTTTCAGTATTAGACCACTTTCACCAAATTTGGTACAAAATCATTACGTTACAGTTAAACCGCAACACAAAACAAACACAACCTTTACATCATCTGCTCTTATCTACACAAAACCAGTCAAGTATCATAACCATGAAATACGATTAACCGGAACAGATTTTTAAAATTGTGAATGACAACATGATTTATTTTTATTTTGTGCATGTGTGTGTTTTTCACATACCTCTCACCGAGTGATTTAATAAACGGATTTTTAAATTAAAACAAAAATTTGGTCACCAAAATATATGTTGCACACAATAAATTCTTTTCTCTGCCGGTAAAAATGGCGTTATTTAACGTGATTTCGAAATACAAGTGCGTCAATCATGATACGCTACCAATGTAAGATTTCATCAGACGCATTTTCTCGTACTCATAGACGATATTATAGGATTTTTCTTACAATAAGAAGTCCTGTAACGTTTTATAAAATCTTGTATGGAACATAATGAAAAATTGCCAGATCTTAAACGATTGTATACCTAGCCATCCCTTTACAAAAATATCTTTGTCTATTCATATTATTCTCTAGGACAGGTGGGAACATAAAGTCTTAAAGAGTATTCGTTACAGTTATGCATTTTAACCACAATAATGGTTACAGCAGTAATATCTGCAGTGCGTCAACTTTAGATTGAACAGTGGTACAGTTTGTACTTAAGGCTTTCATATCGTGCAGCATCGGAGGCTTGTTTGAGTATAGTATTCATCACGTTACTTTTGATAAATCGATGTTGACAAAGTTTTCTAAAACGTATTACCTATTTCAAAACAGATTCCACAATATGATAAGCTGCCCATAAGATAATTTTATCACCCGAACGAAAGTTCTGCACGTTCGGAAGAAAATTCATAAAATAACTGATTCTAACGCGGCAAAACCAAATTGGTTACTCGTTTCAACGTGTTCAAGAAAGAAGTATAAAAAGAACGTGTTCGGATCGGTTATTCCTTAAAATTTTCTTTGGAACGGCTTTCAGATCGTTTGAACACCCCATAAATATTTGAATTTCTAACTCGTTCAAACGTGTTTCTATAAACTTGTAGTATGTTCATGCATTCTAACGCGTTTAGAGGAAATTTTTGAAATCAGGATTTGATGGGCTTTACTGAATGCTTTATATTGGCATCTATTATTGAAAATGATGTCGATACCTTGTATGTATGAAAGTTGACGGCATCAACATCATTTTCATTTCTAGCTTATCTTCGCCAGACAGTTATTTTCTATTTCGTGAGATATGATTGTTCGCTCGATTCATTTAGATTACTAGATTTTTACTTAATTGCAACTACTGTGTAACGACAATGGAAATCGAGTAATCGGGCGATTACCAGATTTTTTCTAGTTGCAACTATCGATTTATCGCCCGATAATCGATCGATTTAATTATTATTAAATGCACCTGCAGACGCATCTAGTTAAAAGTCCCTTTTCCAACTAGTAATCTAGATGGCAACTAGTCGTGTATCGCCCGATTACAGACGAAATGTATCTAGATTTT